TGGAAGTATATTTTTAATTTTTTTTAATTTGTTCTACATTTTGAAATAATAAATTGAGTAATATAAAAATATCAACACGCAAAAAGTAAATGATATTTTTAAAGTCGGACGGAGATAGTATATATTTTCTTTATCGAGATACTTATGTGTTTTTGTTTAATTATATAAATAATTAAATAATTTTATTTATTCACAATTTTATTATTTTTATTTTAATAAATAATAATCAAATTGCTATTATTATTATTTATTTTATTATTTTTAGCATTTTTTAATAATTCTTTCATAATATTTGCTTTATTTTTTTTGTTATCTATTTTATTTTTATATGAAGATAGTATTGTACTCCCTTCGTTCACTTACAATGTTTACATATTTCTATTTTGGAACGTCAAATTACAAAGTTAACATTTCATTAAATACCCCACTTTTTTCCACAAATACCCTTATTTTACATCACATTATTACTTTTACACAAAAAAAATAAGGGCAAAAATGTCATTACACTACTTTTAACTACTCACTATAATTAAAATACTATTATTTCTTAAACACTGCGCCAAAAATAAATGTAAACTTTGTAAGTGGACGGAGAGAGTATTAGTTATTAGTCTCAGGGTTCACCCAATGATGTGTTAAGTATTAAATTTAATTTGTTTTAAGAAAAAAATTGCTATCAATAATAATGACAAATTTTAAAAAATTTTGTGCAAACATTCAAATTTCTGTAATCCCATTTAGTATATAAATATGGACATTTATTAATGTATAATCTAACGAGGTTGTTAGGGTGCTAAATAATAAGATTGTCAGTTGATATATATCAATTATGGTAATATAAGGATAGTTTCGATTGACTTAAAAAATATGTAAAAGGAAAAAATAGTTTATTTTGTATTTGAATAAGTTATTAAATTGTTAAAATTGTACAAAATGACATGTAATATAATTGTATTTTTAATAAATTTTTTATAATTTATTTTTAATATTTTATTAATTATATTTAAATATTTTAAATAAAAATATAAAAAATATATTTTAAAATTTTAGTTATTTATATTTTAAAATTTTTTAATTCAAAAAAATATATAAATTAAAAATAAAATTACAATATAATATTAATTATCATATTTTCATTTTATTTTATAATTATATTTAATAATTTTAGTATAATTAGAAAAATTTATATGATCTTATTTAAATTTGGTATCTCAAATATAATATATAAATTAAAAATATAATAAAATTATATTTTTTATTTTTTTAAATATAATCTATAAATTAATTATTTTTATATTATATTGTAGTACTGTATTTCATATTATTATTATTATTATTATTATTAATAAGGATAAAAAAAATATTTTTTCAACTTCAAAAATTACTTTTGCATTTTTGCAAAAGTTTTCTTAAAAATGGAATTCAAAAGCCGCTGCCAAAAGTCAATTTAAATGGAGCCTTCTTCGGATGATTATTTCAATATATTATATAATTATGAGAATAAATAGTATGATGTTTACTTTTCTTAATTTAAAATAAATTATTTGAATAAATTAATTTTATACCTAGTTAGGATTAATTATTTTTAATTAGTATATTAATAACAGTTTTAATTAATTATAATAAATATGTAATTAAGTTGGATAAATTAATACTATCTTTGTCCACAGAAAGTGTTCTTATTTTCTTTGTAAAAGTCTGTCAAAAACGTGTTCATATTTTATGTATAAATTAATTCTACGGTATAACGACATATTTGAAATTTATATAAAAGTTAAATAGTATTTTGTATTAGTGTGCTATTATTTTTACTATAATAAAAAATATATTACCTCCGTCCAGTTCTAAGGGTCTCATTTATTTTTTGTATGTTGATATTTGAATATTAATAATTATATCAAAAACGTAGTACAAGTTAAGAAAAAATTAAAAAAATACTTCAATTATAGTCTTATAATACTAATAGAAAGACATTTGTACAAAAAATTATACAAATATAAGAATATTTTGAATAGTGAGTACAACGACGCAAAATGTAAATGTGACCTTAGAGGCAGACAGAGGAAGTATATTTTTAGTAGAACTGGTAAAAATGGTGAAGAAAATCACTTTCAATTGAGATTGATGGAGTATATGTTATCACGGATATCATAACATCTCATATGTTAACGTAACACAATATATAATAGATATATATAACTAACCAGACATGTTAATAATATATAAAAACACATGTTATTTTAATAATTATTGTGTGTTAGTGTATTAGAGATAACAATAAGTCAGGTATGGATCGAGTCCAGTTGGATCTGATATCCAGTCTAAATACATATTGTTAGACCCGAGATTCAAATCACATTCGGCTATATCTAGATCCAACTATATTCAAATTCGACTAGAAATATATCCAATAAGACCCGATAAATTTAAAATATTTTTATTTTTTTAAAAAAATAATAATAATAATGCCCTCTCTGCCTCCAACCTTACAAGTTTTGATTCATATATTTTATTGATTACTTCATGAGAACCTGAGAACTAATAGAGTCACCACCCACAAGGCAAAACACCAATTGACTTAAAGTGGGCTTATAAAACCAAATACAAGTCTACAAGTGAAGTTGATCGATTCAAGGCACGACTAGTGGCAAAAGATTTTAAACAAAAGCCGAGTACTTATTATTATGACGTGTTTTCACCTGTGAGTAGATTTCATATGGTGCATATGTTCATCTCTACTGCAACTCAAAATTAGTGAAAAAATTATCAAATGAATGTAAAATCGATCTTTTTAAATAGGTCCTTGCAAGAAGAAATTTGTGTTGAGAAACTGATGAGTTACATAAACATAGGGGAAGAACACAAAATTTATAAATTGAGAAAAAACCCTATATGGTTAAAAACAAGCACCAAGGGCTTGGTACAATTGCATTGACTCCTACTTCGTTGAATCAAGTTTTGTACGATGTCCTTGTGAGCATTCCTTGTACATCAAAAGTACTAATTCAAGGGATATGGTTATTGTGTGTTTGTATGTGGATGATCTCATTACACAGGAACTAATTTTGCATTGATCTTAGAATTCATAAAGTCGTTACATTGCAGACTTGAGATGGCAGATATGGGATTAATGAGCTACTTTCTTAGACTTGAGATAAATCAAATGGAAAATGGAATCTTTATCTCACAACATAGGTATGCATGTGATCTCTTGAACAAATTTTTCATGATGGAGTCGAAGCCAATCTCGACTCCAGTAGCTGACAAAGTGAAGTTATCTAAAGATCCTGAAGGAAAGAAGGTGAACTACTATATTTAAGAGTTTGATTAGAAATTTGAGGTATTTAATTGCTACAAACCCGACATTTCCTTTTGAGTAGGTTTATTGATTCAATACATGGAAGATCAAAAAGTTTCTCATTGTGCTGCTGCAAAATAGATTCTGAGACACGTCAAAGGTACATGCAAAGATGGCCTTCTTATCTTTACTAATAATATTGTTAAGCTTGTCGGATACACAAATAGTGATTGGGTGGGTAATATCGAGACAAGAAAAAACATATTGGGATATGTATTCACCTCGGCTCAGCTGCATTTTCTTGGTCTTCCAAGAAACATCAAATAATAGCACTCTCAATAGCCAATGTTGAATATATCGCAGCAGCAGACTCTGCCACTCAAGAAAATGCTGGAATTTTACAATATAAGCAGGATGTGCGTACAACAAGTCAACAATCTCCTTGTCCAAATACCCAATCCTTCAAGGCCACATCAAACATATTGATATTAAGTATCAATAAAATCATTTTGGTTTGACCATTGGTGTGGTTTACAGCCTCTAAACCTTCTTGTCGCTAGCGATCATTCATAAATAGAAGTTAACTGATTTTGGAATGATGGTGGTTGGGACAACTCTCGGTTGGAATATAGTGGAGATGATCACTCGAGTTTCTTTTGATATTGTGCTATCGGATAAACCTATTTGGAAACCATCCACCTTTGGTAAGTCCTCGATTAAGTCGGCTTGGGAAATCATTGAAAATCACTCTATTTCTTCCTTCATTTTGTTACATTTGGACTGAAAGAAATTATGCAAAGCATAGGGAATCTGATTTTTGCGCTAACAGGATTATTTGGAGGATTCATAACGATTTGCAGGTACTGTCTCGAAGTGGACTCTTCGACAAAACTCATTGGGTTGGCTACAGTGAAGCAACAGAGAAACTTGATATAAATCTGAAAGTAAAACCACGAAGAAATCCAAAGAAAGTCATATGGAAGAAACCAACTGTTGGATAGGTTAAACTGAACACTGATGGTGCAGCATAAAACAATCATGGAAATGTTGGAGCATGAGGTATTTTTAGGGATCACTATGGCAACCCGATTGTTGCATACACTGAATAAATTGGGCAAGATTCCAACAATTTCTCAAAACTCTTGAAAATCCATAAAAGAAAAGAGATCGTAATTGAGAAAATATTAAAATAATTATGAATTGAAATAGACTCAGAGATTTGTATTCAAAAAATCCAAACAACATTTGGTCATTGGCAGTTGCAAGAGCTCATCTCGAATATTAGGATCAACCTAAGGCAGATTCGATAAAAAAAAAATCTCTCATTTTCTAGGAATGCAACAAAGCAGCAGATTTACTAGCGAATCAGGCATGTAACTCAAAAGCTTAACCCATTCTGAATCCGCATGACATACGAGGTATTGTGAAGGCGAGTAATACTACAGATACAGAAGGCATTGGCTAATAACAGAGATTGGTGGCAGTTGTATTTTAAAGTTGTTACTTGCTTTTATTTAATTCCAGAAAGTGTAACCACGTTTTCTTCTTTCACTTGTAATATATATATGTAAAATCTATTCATTTTTCTTACTAACAGTAACACCTTGAACATTCTCTTCTCTGTCTGTTTCTTCTTCTCTCTCTTGATGGTTGGGTTGTTCTTCATGGTATCAGAGCAGGTTCTCCTCTAGCTCTCTCTTCTATGACGTCTGAACTCCTCAACCAAGCTGCTATGCTTGTTGATTCTACAATTCAAAAAATCAGTAACTCTCTCATTCGTGAGGAATTTTTTGTTTTCTTTGGTGACCACCTAGATTTAGCTCTCGTCACTATTCAATTGAGCTCTTCCAACTGGATCGCTTGGAAGGTTGCAGTAAAGGCTGCCTTAAGCTGCAAATTTAAGGAAGGATTTATCGATGGTACTATTACTCCACCGTTAGTGACTGATCCAGGATACAAGTATTGGCGTAGAGGTGATAATTTGGTTTTCATGTGGCTTAAGAATTCTATTGCACCTGAAATTGCCAGATCCTTTGTTCACACTCCTCTGGCTTGTGATTTATGGCTCGAACTTAAAGATTGGTTCTGTCGTGTAAGTGGACCTCAACTTCTTATGCTTAAGAATTCTATTGCACCTGAAATTGCCAGATCCTTTGTTCACACTCCCCTAGCTCGTGATTTATGGCTCGAACTTAAAGATTGGTTTGGTCGTGTAAGTGGACCTCAACTTCTTATGCTTAAGAGGAAGATTGTTAATCTTTCCCAAGGTAACAACATTATCACTGAGTATTTTGGTTCCTTTAGATCTCTTTGGAGTGACTTTCGTGCTTTGCAACATTTTTCTTATTGTGATAACTCTGTGCTGCAACTATTAGGAATTGAAGATTAATGGATGCTATTGGTTCAATTATTAATGGGGTTTAATCATTCTTATGAACATGTCTGCAACCAAATTTTTATGATTGATCTTATGCCCTCTGTGAGTGTTGCGTATGGAATGTTGTGCAACGTAGAGTCACAGTGTGGTGTTCTTGTGTCTAATTCCATCTCTTCTGATTTAGCTATGTCTGCTGTTGTTATTCCTTCTCACCCAACATCTCAGAACTTATTTAAGAAGAAACATTCTAATAGCATCTGTGCTTACTGAAAAAGGCCTGGACACACCAAGGAAACTTGTTTCAAACTTCATGGTGAGCCGGATTTGTATAAAGAGTTCATCAATAAGAAGAAAGGGAAAAGTGTTGTTGCTGTAGTGGTCAATTCAACTTCTAGAAAATAGATTAAATGTGAAGAGCCTTCATCTTTTGTCAATAAATCTGAGATTGAAGATATATTCAAAAGGCTAATGCAGACATCTACTCTTTCTCCAGTTGACTATGTAGCAGGAGCTTATGGTTGCTCAGGTAACTCTTCATTTTTGGAACATCTCTCGGTGTGTGGATCCTTGATACAGGGGGTTCCATCCATTTGTGCTCGTCTATTTCCTTGCTTGTGAATCCTAAGCCTATATTTTCATCCACCAATATTCATCTTCCCAATGCAACTACTAAATCTCCTACTTATTCTGGATCTGTTGTTCTAAATTCCTCTATTACATTATATAATGTTCTTTACATTCCTGGTTTTGTCCTGAACCTTGCGTCTATTAGTAAATTGGTTATTGATTTAGGTTGCCTTGCTAAATTTGATGCCTCTTGTTGTGACTTGCAGGACTTGAGGACTAACTCGACTCTCTTGCATGCCAAGCTTCATCATAATCTCTATATGTTTTACTCGAGCTTATCATCTCAATTTTTATGTTCCACTGCCTACGTTGATCCTTTATTTCATACCTTATTATGGCATGAGAAATTAGGTCATCCATCTTGGAATGTTATGAAACACTTATCTATGGAGCTTACTGTTTTTCCTTCCTCGCCTTATAATGTTTGTTCCACTTCAAAATTTCACAAACCTTGCTTCAATAAAAGTTTTTCTAATGCCAGTAATACTTTTGATCTTATTCAAGTTGATCTATAGGGTCCTTTCTTGTATCCTTGCACCACTAATAATAGTTACATGTTGATATAGTTTATGATTGTTCTAAAGCTACTTGGCTATACTTGTTAAAGCACAAAAGTGAAGTAGTAAGTCTGTTGTCTAAGTTCCTTATTTTAGTTAATACTTAGTTCTCAAAATCAGTGAAAGTTATTCGTAGTGATAATGGATCTAAATTTTGTAACACTGCTTGTGAAGAATTATTTGCTCGGCTTAGGGTAATGCATCAAAGAAGTTGTGTTTAACAAAATGGGAGAATCGAGAGAAAACACAAACATATTACTCAGGTTCTTAGATGTCTGCTTTTTCATTCAGGTTTATCCAAATTTTATTGGAATAAGGTTATTCTTACATCTGTGTATTTGATTAATAGACTGCCCACTCCTATACTCGATTGGAAAACTTCATATGAGATCTTATATAACACCAAATCAGATTTTGATAGACTGCATATCTTTGGTTGTTTATATTTCATGAAAGCTCCTAAATCTCAGTTGGGTAAACTAGATCCTAGAGGATTGGAAGGTGTTTTTCTAGGATACAGTGGGACATACAAAGGTTATAAAGTCCTTGATTTCTCTACTAATAAGATCTATATAACTAGAGATTTGGTGTTCTATGACTCCATACTTTCTTTTTTTGTCCAATGTCTGCCCCCTTGCTCCATCTACTTCTGTTTTAGAGTCAATAATTTCACCCAATATTGATATTAATGATTGTCCCTCTTCAAATTCTTTTCTTGTCTCTGATCCTTCGCCCAAATCCTCTTCATCTATTTCATCTCCAACATCTACTTCAACTCTTTTCACTCATATTTCCATCTCCCCTGTGTCATTGCCCACCAGACCGCAGAGATTAAGAAAAATGCCTTCTAGATTTCGAGATTTTACCTGCACAACTCAAGAGGTGCAACTGTCTGCCTCTACCTCCTTCGAAGAAACCTATTGGGTGTCGACGGGTTTTTCGGGTGAAATATAATCCCGATGGCTCCATTCTAAAGTACAAACCTCGTCTTGTAGCCAAGAGGTATCATCAAAAGTTTGGAGAAGATTATCATTAATCTTTTGCTCCTGTAGCAAAACAAGTTTCAGTCCAATTAATTATTACATTGACTGTCTTCTTCCAGTGGCATTTACATTAATTAGATGTGAATAATGCTTTTCTTCATAAGGATATCACTGAAGAAATTTATATGGTCTGTCTACCTGGATTGCAGGCACCTTCAAATCAGGTTTTTCTACTTAAGAAGTCTATTTATGGCCTCAAGCAGGCCCCGAGGCAGTGGAATACTACCCTCATTGTTTTTCGTTTATCCTTGGGACTGCAACAACTCCATTCGATAATTGTCTCTTTGTGGAGTTCACTGGTTTAGGTCTAGTTATCTTGGTAGTTTATGTTGATGACATTCTAATTGCAGGGAAGATGAACACATAATTATCGATATAAAGCAGGCAATGCATGAGCACTTTACCATAAAGGATCTTGGAGTTGCTTCCTACTACTTGGGTCTTGAATTACGACAGGGTAATGATGGAATTCGTGTTTCTCAATCCAAATTTACTAATGATCTCCTCGAAGAATTTCAGGTGTCTCAAAATTTTCGTGCTCATACTTCTATTGGCACTATAAAGCCGCTGCACCGCGATGGCGTTCTTTTTAGCCAACCTCATCTCTTTTAAAAGTTGGTTGGGAAGTTGATTTTTCTTGGATTTTCTCGCCCAAATTTAAGTTTTGCAGTGCAGCAAATCAGTCAGTTTATGCATGCCCCGACAAAAGACCATTGGCTCACTGCCACTCACATCCTTCAGTACTTGCGCAACACTTCATCGCTTGGTCTTTTCTTTCCAGCCAACAGCCCTTTGGAGCTTACTAGTTATTGTGACTCCAATTGAGGAAATTGTCTTGATACTCATCATTCGTTAAGTAGATACTATATGTTTTTTGGTGGTGCCTTGATTGCATGGAAAACTAAGAAGCAGCAGGTTGTGTCTAAATCATCTACCGAGGCAGAGTATCGAAGCATTGCCGCAGCAACCTCGGAACTCCTTTGGATCCATTATGTTCTTGAGTCGCTTCGTGTCTCGGTTCCTCACCCCATTCCTTTGTACTGTGACAATGAATTTGCCATAAAGTTGGTGTGCAACCCGATTCACCATGAGCGAACAAAGCATATTGACATCTCTTGTCATTTTATCCGTGAGCACTATCAATCAAGTTTTATTCTCCCTACTTTTTATTGGCACTACTGTACAGGTTGCTGATATCTTCACAAAAAGCTTGTGTGCGCCTCTTTTTCTCCGGCATTGTGGCAAGCTCAACTTAGAGGGTTTCTAGGTTTCGCTTGCGGGGGGGATGTAAAGGCAAGTAATACTGCAGATACATAAGGTATTGGCTAATAACAGAGATTAGTAGCAGTTATATTTTAAAGTTGTTACTTGTTTTTATTTAATTCCAGAAAGTGTTATTACGCTTTCTCCTTTCTCTTGTAATATATATATATCTATTCTTTTTTCTTAATAACAGAAACACCTAGAACATTCCCATCTTTGTTCGTTTCTTCTTCTTTCTCTTGATGGTTGGGTTGTTCTTCAAGTATGTTACTTGGAGTTATTCAAATATATAAATGATAAATACCGGGATTTCGATTATAATGAATAAATAAATGTTGTGGTAGGTGTGACATTTATTTGGAGTAATAAATTTGATGGCTGATAGTTTAATGTTCTTGTTTGGTGTTATTTACTTCATAGTGAATCCATCAAGTTGGTTTTGAAAGTTTGTCTAGTGTCTTCAGGTTTGGAGTTCTTTGGCTATCTGCCACCGAGGATTGAGTTCTTTATTATTGTGGGTTGTTGAAGAAAATTAGAGTTGAGGAAGTTTGGGTTCGGCCTGAGTTGTCTGCTTGTTCAATTTGATAGTCGTTGATGGTTTTGAGGTTTTAATGAGTGCCTTGAAGACGTAGTCAATTTTTAATTAAGGTGGTTGACATTGTTTGATTTGAAGGATTTTATTCGTTGATCACTCTTCAGATCATGATCAGTTTGAGTTGGTGTCTCGAGTTGCGTTATGATGATTTGCCACCTCTCGAACTCAGTTGGATCATCAGTGCGGGAAAATTGGTTGGTCGAAGCGGGTCGGAGCTTTGGATCATTTTTTGGGGTGTTGAGTGATCAAGGTTGCTCTGTTGTTTGGTGGAGCTCGAATTTTGATCATCCTAAGTTGTGAGGTGATGGGTTTTGAGTATGGATTGTGTGGTTTTGTATCTACATAAGCCATGATTTGGGCTTTGTATTTTCGATTAGGATGGATTGAAGTTTTCTCCTTTGGGCTTCGCAAGATTGGGCGGTCCAACTGTGCTTTGGGCCGATTGTTGAAGACTCTGGGCTGATAGCTTTTGTTATTTGGGCTTTTTGAATTAGCTTAGGGCTCTAGTTTTATATTGCTAGAATTGTTATTATTATTGTATTTTCGTAACAGGTAGACCATATATTATTTTGGATTATGATATAGACTATTTTGGTTTTTCTAAAAAAATATATCAATAAAATCATAAAGTTGGTAGTTGAAAATCAAATTAGTGTTCAATATTGCTCAAGTGAACATCAAGTTGCATTTGTTTACTAAACCTTTGAAGGCAGAAAATTTTCTCAAGTTAAAGAAGCAAAGAAACGTGGTTAAAATATCATACTTGGTTTAAGGAATTCTATGTTGGTATTAAACCAAGTCAAATTAGTGTTTTCAATAATTTTAGGTGGCTTCGGATCTTCTGTCCGACGGAGCTGCCTGTCGCCCCTGTCGATCCAATAGGAGGGTGACAGGTGGCTCCTTACTTATTTAATTTTTATTTTTATATAAAAATTTAAACTTTTTATAATTTATAAATTTTCCCCTAAATTTCAATATAATTTTTTTTTTCTCTTTGAAACCCTAAATTCCAGTACGATTTGTATTTTTATTGAACAAAACAACGATTTGTTCACTTCTTCCAGCAGTCCATTGTCGTCGCTCGCCGACCAGCCCATCGCCGCCGCTTGTCACCTAGCCTTCTCATCCCAAGTATACAATGTTATTTCTCATTTCTCATCTTCTCCCAAGTACACAGTGATATTTCCCCCTTCCCAAACCGCCCACCATCGGAAATCTTTCGATCGTCGTCCAATCGTCTCATCGAGCTCAGGATGTGTACGATTTTTAAAATTTACGTATCCTTTTATTGATTTAGGGTTTAAACTTTATTGCTTTTGTGCTAATTTTAATGTCGATATATTTGAGATTTTTCAATTTTGGGTGTAGGATTTGTTAATACAGGATTAGATTTTGTTCTTTCAGGCAGTCTATACAATTTTGTGTTGTTTGGAGATAAGTTTGATTTCGAGTGCTTCATTTTGTCTTGGCACAACCCGTGGCATATGAATCAGTATCCCGTTACATATTGCTCTGGGAATTTCAACGCATGAGCGCATAACAAGCCATCAAATTCAAACTTCTTGCAACTAGAAAGAAACAGTATCATCTAAAGAGTTAAAGTTCACAACATGATACCTAGACCTTCTCAAATAAATGACATGATAAACTGTTGTTGTTTCATCCATGCCATTAAGAACCACCGCACAATCATAAGCTTTCCCTAATTCCTTTTGAAAATCCTTAAAAACTTTAGGTGCATACACACTTGCAGTATGTTTCAAGAGTTGAACAGGTAATGAAAAGACCCGAGCACCGTATGTGCTTTAAAATCAGCAATCAACTTCTCATATCGGTGAGATTCAATTAAAATTTTGAACAATTCAAAAATACTCGCAAAGGATTCTTAGAATTCACATACCTTTTGATGCTACTATTCATACTTCTACTACATTCAAAAAATACTCGCAAAGGATTCTTAGAACTCACACTATTCATACTTTCACTACGTTGTGTCGTAGAACCAATACAGCAAGGCTCATTTGTTTTACTCTAAATAACCTCTTCAACCATTCGTTCTCCATTATATCATACTTCTTCAACATTTCATCCCGTTCGTACAGAAATTCATTATCTTTTTCACAATCATAAATACACCTTCCAAAATGATGTGCAAAATCTTTGTATTTTTCAAAAACTCCACTTAAATGTATTGTAGCATTTTGATAGATATGTCAAATACATAATGTGTGACAAGTTTCAGGCCATCTGGTACCTAATGCTTTCGTCATAACATGATTTTGATATGTCAGAATAGTGAAAAACTTTTTTCCACCCATAGTATCTGTGAATGTATCAAACAACCATTCAAATGAAGGAATTGTCTCATCGTATAAAAGTGAAGCACCAAAGATTATTGTCTGTCTATGATAATTGACACCGACAAACAATACAAAAGAACGGCTTTCTCTTTTCTTTCTGTACGTGGTGTCGAAACTCACAATATCTTCAAAATCAAAATAATATGCTTTCATTTTGTTGTATGCCCAAAAGATATCAGTTATCATATCATCTTCATCAATTTAAATAGAATACGAAGCATTCGGATCTTTCTTTTGCATCTCCCGCAAATACTCAAGCACTCCACCGGTATCTCCAATTTTCATATTTTTTGTTCTTTTTTACCGTAAATAATTCTTATAGTCTTTCTCAATAAATCCTAAGCTGTCTCGGCTACCAACTTCTTTAACCATAAGATTATGGGAGAATTTTAGAGTAAGTCCCACATTTTTCCATCTCAATATGCGTAGCATGAATATCATTTATCCTCCTATACGACCTTAATAAATGTGTATCTTGGGGGCCAGTAAGTTAATGTGTATATTGATAAATGAACTGAACAACTTGATATTTTTTATTGGCCGCGGCGCTTTCACATTAATACTTCTTCTATCCTCCTCCCGTTTTTCTTTAGCACTACAAGCTAAAATTCTGGATATGATCTTACCATTTTTATCTTTATGCATTTGTGTCTTTTGATGCCAAAGTCGATATTTTTAGCATAACTTAGATAATATTGTTATGTTGCTTCTATGAATTAAACAACATTCCAATTTGAATTGCTTCGGTCTCTGTTTGAGATTGCGAGCCTAAATTATCAAATTTTATACCTGTAAAGTAAATCCCAATTAAATTAAAAATACCAAATTTCAATCGATTTACAAACAAAAATAATACACAACAATTACACATATAAACCCACATCAGCTAAATTTCAAATCAATTTTTCAAACGAGTAAAATAAAGGCATAAACCCCAAACTTGATACTTAGATGAATGAACTTCAAAAAATAATTTAGCATACTTTTTTGTAACTAGATAGTGGAGATGAGATGGTAATGATGGAAGAACAAAAGAGATTGTGTGACGGTAAAAATAGTGGATTAAGAAGTTCTCAGACGATGTTAAGGCGCAACGATGGCCGGAGGAAGAGGCAGGAGCAGAGACGGGTTGGCTGGCAAGCAGCGGAAACAGACTGGACGGTGAGCGACGGAGATATTTTGCTGAAAAAAGTAACGAATCGTTGTGTCGTTCAATAGAAATAAAGATCGTACTAAAATTTAGGGGTTCAAAAATAAATAAAAATTCTGATGATATTTGAGGACGAATTTATAAATTATAAAATTTTAAGTTTTTATATAGGAAAAATTAAATAAGTAAAGGGGTACATGTCGCTCTACTCGGGGCCACGACTAGCTCCGCCGAACAGAAATCTAAAGCCATTTTAGGTCCTTGTATTTTAATTTATCAGTTTGAGTGATGCTTATATTTTACCAAAAAAAAATTTATATTTTATTTTCTTTTGTTCTTTACTTGCAAGTTCTTTTCAACTCTTTGATATTATTTTGATAAAATAAACTTACAAAATATTGTTTATATAATTATATTATTTAAAATATTTTTGAATCGGGTCCTGATCTAATTAGAATCCATCTTTAAAATCTATATCCGACACAAACTCAATCGAGACATATAGTACTCATTTTTTACTCAATTCAATATCCGAACAATGGAATCTGATCTTAAATAAATGGATTAGGTTCGTATATCCAATGTATTATTGCGACCTGTATCATAGCAAGTTTGATAATTGATCTAGGCTAAATTCAAAATTTTTTATTCAATCAAAAAATCAAATCAAACACCTATTATTTATTTGTTATATTATACAAAATTTTTATCTTATATTGAAAACGCCACATGTTTATATCGTATCAAATAACTATTTCAATTCAAAATTTTATTATTCAAAATCAAAATATTACGGGTAAATACACCTGGTAATTTTTTTTGTTTTTAATATTGAATTCAAACCGTAAAAAACCGTACCAAAACTCACCGGGTGGAATGCCCATGGCCCTGAAAGCGCTATTGTAATCCGACAAATACGTCATTTTCAGAAAAGCGATTTATCGTAATTAATTTGAACAGCTACCGCACTAGGCATTGAGAAGTGAACGTGGCGATCAATGGTGATGGCACGACAGCCGTCTCAGTCACCGCACGGCAGCTCCGTCGCTACTCCTTTCGGCTTTTAATGGTTACTGAGTTTTACCCCTTTGCTAATTGATAAAGTATTTAGTGCACGTGTTGTAATTGATTTATTGATTCACTCAATCGACGGTTTTCGTTTCGTTCGAGCGAATCGTCGAATCCGGGAATGAAAGTGAATATCTTATTCAGGTTTATGTTAGCGACTGCTTTCGTGTTTAATGTTTACGCATCTAAGTTTTCGTGGTTTTTATGGTATTGAGTGAGTGCTGATTTTGGATTTGAGTCGTTTTTATGCGTGATTCATGTGTTCTCATGAGAGTAATCTCCTTTTTGCTATTTCTGAATTGTTGTGGTAAGAGGAATTTCGATTTGGATTCTTGATGAGTGCAGCGGCTTTCGAATCTCGATTTGATGTTCATACGCAGTTGAGATCTTTGGAATCATTCACTAATGTTTGTTTCGAAGGCAATAGATATCATGGAAGTTAGAATTTGCTTTGTGATCTTCAATTTTGTTTGTTTCCTCAAAATGATATATGCGTTAATTGTATCTGTATTAACTCCATTTTAGACTTTGCTTTGTGATCTTCAATTTTGAGCACTTCCTCAAATTAATATATGCATATCTGTATTAACTCCATTGATACTATTTCTTCACACTTGTTCTTGATTTACCTTCGGAAACAACGCCTTTGAGGTCTTCGAAATCAGTTACTAATGTTTGTTTCGAATGGAATAGATATCATGGAAGTTAGAATTTGCTTTGTTATCTTCAATTTCGTTCATTTCCACAAATTAATACAATGCCTTAATTGTATCTGCATTAACTCCATTAACACTATTTCTTCATACTTGTTCTTGATGTACCTTCAGAAACAACTCCTTTGAGGTCTTAGAAATCAGTTACTAATGTTTGTTTCGAATGGAATAGATATCATGGAAGTTAGACTTTGCTTTGTGATCTTCAATTCTGTTCATGTCCTCAAATTAATATAATGCCTTAATTGTATCTGTATTAACTCCATTAACACTATTTCTTCATACTTGTTCTTGATTTACCTACAGAAACGACGCTCCTCAGTAGCTAAGCTAACAAAGCTCAAAATGCGGGAAGCAAATGACGCGGAATATGTAGGTCTAGAGTCAGGAGTATCTCCTAGGTTGGAAAACCTCAATAAGGTATCTATCATACCTCTTGTTTTCCTCATTTTCTATGAGGTTTCAGGAGGGCCATTTGGCGTCGAAGATAGTGTTCAGGCTGCTGGACCCCTTCTGGCCTTGCTCGGCTTTGTGCTTTTTCCATTCATATGGAGCATTCCAGAAGCCTTAATAACAGCTGAATTGGGTACTATGTTTCCGGAAAATGGAGGATATGTAGTTTGGGTTTCAGCAGCCTTGGGTCCATATTGGGGATTTCAGCAAGGATGGATGAAGTGGCTGAGTGGAGTTATTGACAATGCACTCTATCCTGTGCTGTTTCTGGATTATCTGAAATCAGCTGTGCCGGTTTTAGCAGATGGTTTTCCACGAATCACAGCGCTGTTATTTCTAACTTTCGCATTGACTTATCTTAACTACCGAGGGCTAACAATAGTCGGATGGGTTGCTACATTGTTAGGTGTGTTTTCTCTGCTTCCCTTCTTGTTCATGGGAGTCGTTGCAGTTCCTGAACTGGAGCCGTCGAGGTGGTTCGTTGTCGATTTCAATAACATCAACTGGGCGCTATATTTAAACACATTGTTTTGGAATTTAAACTATTGGGATTCGATCAGTACTCTTGCCGGTGAGGTCGGAGATCCCGGAAGAACACTCCCGAAGGCTCTATTATACGCGCTTATCCTCGTTTTCTTGGCGTACTTTTTTCCTCTTCTGATAGGTACTGGAGCAGTTCCACTTGACCGCGACGAGTGGAGCGACGGATATTTCTCGGATATCGGTAAAATCCTCGGAGGGGTGTGGTTGAGATCGTGGATCCAAGTGGCGTCTGCCGTGTCGAATATGGGGATGTTCGTAGCCGAGATGAGCAGCGACTCTTTCCAACTTCTTGGCATGGCGGAACGCGGAATGCTCCCCGAGTGTTTCGCCAAAAGATCGCGCTACGGAACCCCTCTAATCGGTATAATCTTCTCGGCATCGGGTGTGATACTGCTTTCATGGCTCAGCTTTCAAGAGATAGTCGCCGCAGAGAATTACTTATACTGTTTCGGAATGATCATGGAATTCATAGCTTTTGTGAAGCTAAGATTCGACCATCCAACAGCTTCTCGATCATATAAAGTGCCTTTAGGTACTGCTGGGATAATTCTGATGTGCATTCCTCCGACCATACTAATATTGGTCGTATTGGCGCTCGCGTCTTTCAAAGTTATGGCCATTAGCCTCGTCGCGATTTTTGTAGGACTTGTCCTCGAGCCTTGCTTGAAGTACAGCGAGGAGAAGCGATGGTTCAGGTTCTCGAGGGTTCTTGATTATGATCCTACGGAATGACAACAGGTTCGGAATTTACTTACTACTAATTTATGTGCGAGAATTTTATGCGTAGCTTTTGTTTAGATCGGTAGCGTAATTATGGTAGCCAACATTACATTGGTCAGCATGCCGTAGAAACTATGTCGTCTTTATCCTTCGTTGCCTTTGTGTATCAATTTTGAAAAACTTGTTCGAATAAATTTGTTTGTTTTTTCTGTCGTTTTGAGAGTTGAGCATTGTGTGTGTCGTAATTATTATTTGCTACAATATTTTGTGAGATAAAAAATTTATTTGATATAATAGTTTCCTCTTAAAAAAAAATTAATGATAATAAATACTCCGTATCTAAAGCTCCAAAGTGTCTATACAAACAGAGCTAGCCGGAGTCAGGCAGTTTGAATATCCTTTGATGAAACGGGAAGGTTACCGTACTGATTTGGACAAATCGGCTTCATGGAAATTAATTTTTGCCGTTTATATGTTGTATTTATATTATGTTAATACATTATTATTAGTTATATTGTGTGTCGTCTTTCAATGCATAATGTATTGTTGGTTCAGTTATGAATGTTATAATTTAGTGCAATATCAGTTAACATTCGTTTTAATGAAAATTAAAGAACCATTATGCATGCGAATAAGAACAAACGGAAAAAGACAGTGTGAGTTGTCTCGTCGAATCTAGTTTGCAGGTTATATTAGATTCGGTTGGGAGTTTATCCAGAACACACTCGTCAATTCTTACGTTATAACCAAAAAAAGGGAAGAAAAAAAACAACAAAAGACGAGCCATGCATGTCTGCCATTGATGGTGATAGTACAAACTCAGGTACTTCCTTAGGCATTTGTATTCTATAGAAGCTAAACATAAATAAACATGGTAATGTTCTTGCGAAACTAGGGCTTGTGGATTCAAGGTCTAGTTTTAGCCTTGTAAAAGTTCTTTTCGAGTTTAATTTTATTTTTTTAACTTATAGATATATACTCTTACAATATATCACATTTAAATTATTATTCAAATTAAAAATTGCAATCAAAAGAAAATACTATTATAGTCATCGTATTTACTTTTAAAATTTTCAAATTAAATAGATCGATACATTGAAATGCTAATTCAAATCTTAAAAAAAAACAATACACGCACACGCCCAAATAGATATACATGTTAATTGAAAAATTTGAAATACATAATCTAATATATTTTAGATATAAAAGTAATTTTTTAATATAATTTAAAAGAAAAACACCGAAATGTTCGAAAGAGATTTAGAGCCCAAATGGCGGCTGCAGCCTAACATGCGAATTAAATATAATTAATAAATAATTAAAAATATATCAGTGAAAATAATTATAAATTAATATAATTAAAATTAAAAAAAAAATTATAAATTAAATTTTTAAAAATAAAATTAAAATATATAATTTTTTCTAAAAACAAAATATGAAATAAATAAAAATTAACAAAAATGAAAAGGTAGACAGAAAAGTAGGGAAGTAATAACAATAATGTCTAACAGTTATCATAATTATTACTGGCTCTGTCAAAACACCATGATGTTGATTATACATGCACAGAGCAGCACTGGCACAGCCCTAACAGCTCCAAAACCCCCTTGACAAAATAGAAGAATAGCAAATAATAATAATTTAAAATGAATTACAGGATGGATGGATGGATCATCTAACCGAAACCAAAATGTTTAAATATCTGTTGTCTCATTGGTGGACTCGACGTGGGCTCGTCAAGATCTCTCTCTCGACTCTTTATTTTAAAAAAGGTGATATGGAGGAGCAGCTGATAATAACAAATACCAAAAACAAAAACAAACTCATGAAACAAAGAGAGATATATCACACAACCATAATGCCAAAACATAAAACTTCAAACTCTTATGAGTTCACGCAGCTCTGCTCTGCTCTCTCATTAGTTTGTAGAATCCCTGCTGTAGTACTGATCCAGAGTCTTTGCCGGAATACGGTGGAGAAGCTCCCGAGGGAAGATCCGCAGCAGCGTCCATGCCAAATCAAGGGACTGGAAAATGTTGCGGGTGTCGTACGCCCCTTGTGCCACAAATTTCCTCTCGAATTTGTCGAGGAACTCGAGGTATAGCTGCATGCCCAAAAACAGTCGGAATTAAACATCTCAGATTATTATTATTGTTGTTGTTGTTGTACTGTACAATCAACAAAAACCGATATAAGGATTAGGAAACCGACCAGATCTTCTGAGGAAAGTGCTTCTTCTCCGACCACAGCTTTCATTGCTTGAACATCCTTACCAATGGCATAGTTTGCATATAGCTGCGTGCATCGATGAAGTATGATGATCAGAAGAAAGACAAGACAAAAGGGGGCTGAGATTATTTAAGTCTGGTTGTAATAAACTACCTGGTTGGAGACATCAGAGTGATCCCTACGGGTCATGCCCTCGCCAATGGCGCTCTGCAAGACATTCAAGACAACATTAGTAGGGTAGCTTCAATCTGGCCACAGGAGGAACAAGTGTAAATAATATTGTTTGTCTTACTTTCATGAGACGAGACAACGACGGCAACACATTGATTGGAGGATATATCTGTAAACAACATTCAGTCAGCAAAATTTTTGAGGCACTAGAAGGAGCATTTATAGGAATTAAGCTACAATCATTCAAGTCATCTAATAACCGAAGCAAAAAAAGCAATGTGGGACACGGAATTTGCTTTATCCATTTCAATCCAAATTGACATACATCTGGGTATGATGATGCCGTGTCAGAAATTTCACTATATAGAATTGTGATGCACACTCACACTACTCACGCTCTACTAGACCCACAACTACTCAGCTCAATAATACCCTAACTTCGTCCCGTAAGCAGGACGACCTGATGGTGTGGAGGTGGATTCGTGACCGTGAAGTTATGGGTTCAAATCCCGGTCCCTGCAGGTCCATAAAAAAATAAAAAAAACCCTACTTTGCCCCATAAAGGGGTGGCGAAGTAGCGTTAAGGGTGAACTCATGACTGTAAGGTCATGATTTCAAAACCCCTCGACGCCACTTGGTCCGGCTTGCTAGGCATGATTTGCCTACTATGACTTATCTTGCTGACCTAGTTTGCACGCTATTAGGTTTGGCCGAAAATTTATTCAGAGCACACTCAAAAAGTAGCGGGTGCAAATTCCACGTCATAAAAAGCAATAAAAAAGCATTACCCTGACTTCAACCCTAGGATTCGGGCTTTAATCAAACTTCATAAGACAACAATCTTAAATGGTAGAAGTAATCATTTGATTTCAATAAACTTTGCATAAACCTTGGTGTATATGACAAAATCACAGATAACTAGAAAGCATCATCATCTGTTCACCTGTCTATTATGGAGTTGCCTGTCAATGTATATCTGCCCTTCAGTGATATAGCCAGTAAGATCTGGAGTTGGATGCGTAATATCTGACAATTCAAAGCAACAATAGAGTAAGGTTGATTTCAGAACCAGTTTGCTAATATATAAATATATATATATAAATGGTTATGTCACCGTCGTTGGGCATGGTTAGAATAGGAATTTGTGTGATGGACCCCTTCCGTCCTTCAATACGTCCAGCTCGCTCATAGATTGTTGCCAGGTCAGTGTACATATACCCAGGGTATCCACGTCTTCCAGGGACTTCCTCTCGAGCAGCAGACACCTAATGAGATAAATACCCGGTCTTATTCAATCGCAAGAAGATGCAAAGTTGTAGAGATAAAAGGCAGTGCCAGGAAAATACATAAATGTGGAAAGCTCTATGAAAAATATTACCTCACGAAGAGCATCGGCATAAGAACTCATATCAGTTAATATGACAAGAACATGCTTTCCGCATTCATATGCTAAGTATTCTGCAGTCGTCAGAGCAATACGGGGTGTGATGATACGTTCTATTGTTGGGTCATTGGCCTGCCAAACAAGAAGATATTAGCAAAACATGCAAAAGAAACCAAACGTATCGATGAATATTAGCTTTCTCAGCAAAGGTTAATATGTGAACCTACCAAGTTCAGGAAAAGGGTCACTCTCTCCATGGAGCCATTTTCCTCAAAGTCACGTTTGAAGAACTGAGCCGTCTCCATGTTGACACCCATAGCAGCAAAGACAATGGCAAAGTTGTCCTCTTCACCACCACCCTGCAGCAAACAATAAACCAATCACCTCAAATATCAAAAGGCGGACAAGTAAAAGTGCGCCGTGGATTAAGATTCCATAACAAGATAGAAGGATAGTTTCTATCTAAGAAATTGTTTAGATATCTCACAGCCTGATGCATTTAGTCTAAGACTTTAATTAGGAGTCACCATTAAATTCAAACAGTGTACAATGTCATAGTGTAGCAACAAAATAGTACAACAGATGCCAACCTCAAATACGTAAAATCTTGTAGAGAATAGTCATGGTGATTGTATACCTCTAGAAGATTATCAGATTTCTCCAATCTTTTGACCAAACCAGCCTGACGACATATCTGAGCAGCAATTTCATTGTGGGGAAGACCAGCAGCAGAAAAAAGAGGAATTTTCTGTCCTCGAGCAATTGAGTTCATGACATCAATAGTTGAAATTCCAGTCTGTATCATTTCCTCTGGATAGGTTCTCTCACTAGGGTTGATGGAACTCCCTAAACAAACAAGAGTAAATCAAACATGGCCATTGAACAATACACACGGACTATGTCACATTTCTGTTGATACTTGCCAGAAATATCCAAGTAAGCCTCAGGAAGGATCGGAGGGCCATTGTCAATTGGTTTCCCAGAACCGTTAAAAATACGACCAAGCATGTCCAATGAGACAGGCGTCTTTAACACCTGCAATCAAGTTGAACATTTCTTATGAAAGTGGATTTTATGAAAATGAAACTATGCATGGAATCAATTCCATTCAATAAAAGTGATTATAAAGTGGCTCAAGAAAAATAGACAAAGAATTCCTAATTTTCATGAATTTATAAGTGGGTGCCTTGTCCCTATATTATAGATACTCATATTTTATAAGCATAACCCAAATTTTGCATCACACACACTCTCAAACCTACTTCAGAAAACCAGTCACAATATACTAAGTTGTCTCTGATTAACAAGAAAACTCCTAATCCGTCAGTCGCTTGTTCCACGTTTCTTCTCTGAGAAGGAATAAGACTATGAAATGCAAAGCACAAATCCCCGGGTAGAGAAAGCAATGACACAAGTCATTAACTTGGAGGGTTTATGACTGATGTAATGTAGATAATATCTAAGTGGAAGATGTAGTCAACAGTATACAAGTAAAAAGAAAAATCTCAAGAAATGAATCAGAGGCTGGTGCCCCAAAGAATTATAACACTTAACTAATCATGATCCATTGAGAATATCTAATATCCTATGAGAGATGATGTAAGTAGCAATGCAAAAGTAATTCTGACTGTTAATGGGTATATGCAAATAGCAAATTAGACTTGCACTAGCCAAGCAAGTAAGTCAGCTGAGTATCGATTTTTTTTTTGGTGGGAGTACATTTTCAGAGAGGTAGACATTACTATCATATGAAAAAGAAAAGGGCAGAATTATTCTCTTTCTTTTTTAATCTATTAATTGAATTGAACTTAGAATCCATTCATTTCTAGCTAATCTTGATATGAGGATACAACTTACTTCACTAGAGCCCCTATAAAATACCATTGCGTAAACAATTGAGCATGAAACAGCATCAGTGACAAATAATAGTATAACTCCTACTTAAACATGGAAGCGGAAAAAAAATACATCACCTCCCCAGTGAACTGAACTGTCGTATATTTGTTGTCAATTCCAGAAGTTCCTTCAAAAACCTGCCAAAAATGCATGGAAGAAAAAATTATTTTGCATGAGTGTTAAAAAGTACAGAGAATTTGATGAAGAGTAGTCAGAGCGCTGAACCTGCGGAAATTAATATGATATATTATGGGAAAATAGTTAAAACGTTAGAGCACACATTGACATGTCTCTAAAACCTGGAGCTCTAAAATTCTCAATCAAAGGGGCCTAGAACTATATTGGAAAAAAGATGCACTTACTTCAATTAGAGGTTAGAAAAGCTATTATCCCATAATATATGATAATACTGAACTAGTAAATTACTAACAGTAAAATCAGCGGAGGATTGACAGATAGTAGAATGATTGAATCCATCAACAAATCAAGGACGCAAAGTTGTGATGGTGGTCACCTGAACGACAGCCTTTTCTCCATCAACCTCCAAGACCTGTCCACGTCTTGTTGATCCATCTCCCAGGCGAATGTTAACAATTTCCTGGAACTTAGGTCCCTGTAATCATTATAGAAAGATGTTTAAGGGATTCATTTCAGATAAAAATCCATAAAAACTGAGAAGAATCTCAAAACAGTGATACATAGAAAATAAGCAACAACACGGGGCTTGCTTGTTTGTGTTTTCATTTACCTTTTCATACGATGCAAACAACAATACATATTTTTTCTCCAAAAATAAATTAATATCTCACAACATTTTTTCTGTTAAAATATTATATCTAAAACATTTTTCCATTCAATACATCATGTTCAACACTTATTTTCCATTGAAACATTACATCATAAACCTATTTTCCATTTAAATTTTTAATATTCTCAAGACAACCTAAAATACTGAAAATGCCCAAAACAAAAAAAGCAAAACCATGAGTAAACATTCACCTTGACTTTGTCGAGGATAACAAGAGGTCCAGCAACTCCAGAGACGGTTCTATATTCTGCATACGACAATGTGAAAATTGAACCATAATCTTAAAGTACATATAAGGTGGAGAACAATTACAGAAGTAGCAACACCAGATAACTAGATGTTCATGTAATTGTGCTAATTGAAAAAATTAATTCCAAGGATTAACCCTATATAAACAGTACAGTTCATTTATATTGACATTAATAGCTGGATAGTGGATAGGGTTAAGAACAGAGAGCCAAAGTCCTGATATGATAAAGACCAAAAGAAGGTACTAAAACAGAGGCAATAAGCTTTATTCTGTTCGATTCTCTCAGCACATACAAGGAACCTTTGAGACAAAGACAAAAAGATTCTGTATTAAAGGGCATTTTAAGTGCTCACAAATGGAAGGTGCAAAATATATTTTGAAACAAGTAATAAACAAAACATAATAAATAACAAATCTATCATTAAACTCGGAAAACACAGACGATAGTTTAGTCCAATCTAGATTATGAAACTTAAATTGCAAGTATGCAGATATGGGACAGAGAAAAAAAAATAGTAACAAAAGGTAGGTGATTGCCAAAAAATTGAACAATCCATACATGCTGTCATGGAGATATATGTGCATATTCATCAGTATGTTTGATGTGAAAAGAAAAAATTTTAAGTGAATTGAGAACATACCCATCCCAATCTCCAGAGTTCCCTCCTCCATGTCAAGATTGTTCTTCTCTGCACCCATTGTTTAACCTGCAACATCCAAAAAGTTTCCACAACAATACGGAGCTGGTTAATAGTACTAACTCGATAACACTCTAGTTATGCAATTATTTACTACATTGCTCTATAATTTGATCATATTTGATCATTTTTATGTTTAAAAAAAATGATAACAGTATCAATATCTATGGGCAACAAGCCGGATCGAGCTATTTCCTCCAGACAACAAGACCGGTATCAAAACCTAGAACCAGAAATTCCAACGAGGAAGATTTTCCAATAGAAGTCCATAAGCTGTGATTCAGAACCACGCATATCCAATTGACTTTATAGATAACCACAGCAATCATTGATTATAAGCATTCGAGATTCCAAACTGGATCACCATGTACAGAAATCAATCAACAGAAAGTATTAGGATAATCATATTCTCCTTTCCGTCGCCTACTCGCTTACCGCAAATATCCACAGACACATCACACGCCATACAATAATCAACGGTGACAAAAACAAACAGCCAACATTCCATCCAACCAAATCAAAAACAACTAAACCATAAAAACATCCTAACCGGTACAAACAGGTCCAAATCGGTGTTAATATCCGAAAGATGCGACGTCATATACATCGAAATCACAAAGCAAAAACTCAAAATTTATCAAGTCCGAAAAAAAAAAAAAAACAGAAAACAATTGAACGGAAGGAAGATTCCTGAATTGGATCTAGAAAGATGCATACCTTTTCCGAAATTCCCCAATTCTAGTGCGCGAGTCGGAGCGAGGCCAGTTGGAGGAAGAACGATGGATAGTTGGACAGAGGAAAACGTGAACTGAGTGAGATCTGATGGCTGGGATCGAATAATTATATTTTTTTTTTCATTTTTTATTTCAATTTTTTTTTTTTTGTTTTTTATTGGCATATAATGTCAATTATTTGTTATACGTGTCCTCAAGGTATTGATGCGACCACCTTTTTTTCTATATACCGTTTCCACTTACCATTATTTCCTTGTGAGTTAAATGCAAAAGAATAATAATAATAATAATAAATAGGGAAAAAAATTATTTTTGTCCCAATATAATCAAAATTCATTAATTTTGGTTTCAATATAAAAATCTTATTAATTTTAGTTCCAATATAACCAAAATTTATCATTTTTTATCACAATATAACCAAAACTCATCATTTTTTGTCTCAATATAAAATTTTATTAATTTTAGTCACAATATAACCAAAACTCATTATTTTTTGTCCCAATATAATCAAACCTTATTTTTTTTATCATGCAATTTCTTCGAATATAAATATAAAATTTGATTTCTTTATACGTCAACATTTTCTGTCGGTTTATTAACGGTGAGACCAAAAAAGATATGATTTGATTATACTGGACAAAAAATTATAAATTTTGGTTATATTTGGACTAAAATTGATTTATAAAAAATTATATTTGGATAAAAATAATGAATTTTGGTTATATTTGGACTGATGAATTTTGGTTATATTGGAACCAAAATTGATAAGATTTTTATATTGAGACCAAAATTAATGAATTTTGGTTATATTTGGACTAAAAATGATTTTTTTTCCCTTATAAATATTTTGTAGTATAAACTATCTTGACATCAGTCTTTTCCACAGATTTTAAATTTATGTAATTTCCAGTTTTATTAGATAAATTTATATAATTTACATTTTTTTTTACTTTTATATATTATCAAAGTAAAAAAACAAAATACGGTTTTATCAATATACATTATTTTATCTAAGTTTATATATAATTTAATTTTTTCTTTCTATTTTCAAACAAAAATATTTTAAATAATTATTATTGACTTTTCAATTACAAATTTTAGTATTTACAAATATCCAATAGTTTGGTCAAAATATTTTAAAATTTAATATTTTAAAATATTTTTTCGATTTTAAAAAGTCATCTATGTAAATTTAGAAAGTCAACGGAGTCGGTGTAGAGTTTGATAGATTTTATTAATTAATTTAGATGGATTGTTATGGATTTCATTGGATTTTTTTTATGAATTTATATGAATTTTGTAGAATTGTAAAATATTTTTTTATTAATTTATATAATTGTATAAACTTACGTAATCACAAATTTTACAAATATAATATATTTATTATATTTTGTAAAATATAAGTAATATTAATAAATAATATATAATTATTAATGATATAGAAATATTGTAATATATATAATGCTACTATTTTCTATATTATATTTTAAATTTTATAATTTTTATTATATTATCATTCAATATATCAATTTATTTTTATATTTTTGTAAATTTGCATAAAAAATAAAAGTAAAAAGTAAATAAATATAACTAACTGATCAACGAAGAAAATTTATATTAGTTAACTATACTGACAATACAATACAGTGTATTCGATAATTAAAAAAGAAATAATATATATTTATTATGATAATAGTAATTTCCAATATTATATTTATAATATAAAATACATATTTTCAAAAAAAGTTGATAATAATTTATTAATATATTTTATTTTTAAATTATTACTTTTTATTAATATTTAAAATAATATTAATAAATATTCTCATATTATTTATCACTTATATATTATCAACAACAAAAACAACAATAATAAATAATAATATTAAAAATTTTAAAAATTCATCAAAATATTTCCTTACGATGAGAGATTTTCTCATGCACAGATTTTTCTGTCCATTAAAATTCAATGAAATCCACAAACTTTAAAAATATGTGCGATTATTGAATACCTCAAGATTTTTAAGGACTTTTATAAGTTTGGATTGTATACACCCGGTAACAGTTTTTTAAACAGTTTTTCATATTAATTTTATAAAATTAATAGTTTTTTTTAATGGATTTTAACTATTTCTCTATTCATTTTTTATTTTAATTTGTCCCAAAATAAAATATTTATTTTTTAGTAACTCTAATACCTACCTATTGTAATTACCTAACTTACACTATATTACAAATATACTATTACAATAAATTTTTATCTTAAGAATAGTTTAGTCTTTTTATTTTTATTCCTATTTTATTTCAATATAATTAATATTTTTAAAATTTCGTTCAAAAAAACAAACGGATAAATAAATATGAGATGGTTCTTTTCAATTCATTTTTCAACTCGTATTTTTCATTTGTTTCATATTTTATGCTAATTTTTTTTGCTTTTTCATTTTATGTAGAAGCAAAAGACTGAATTCACTATTATTATTGAAGAGACATAGGAAACTATTGATCGGTTTGTTTAGTAATGTTCAATTTTTTTTTATTGTCTTTATTTTTAAATTTTACCTTCCATAATCGATTATAATTTTAATCTATTTTTTGTTTTTGTTGTTTAGATTTGTTTGATTTATTTATTGTTATTTCACAAGGCTAATACTATGTTTTGGGAGAAACTATAATCTAGACGCCGAAACTCATTCGTCCGAAAAAGTAAGTTTTTATTTTTATTTTTTATACTATTTCTACGTAACGTTAGTATTATAGTTTTATATTAATTTTTTTTCTATTTTTTATATGTCAGTGGTTATACACTATTGATATCTAAATACTCCCTTCGTCTTAAATACCGTGTCTGCTACACGGTAGGCACGGTATTTTAAGAGAGATGTAATTAGTAGATAATTAAAAATGTATTAGTGAAAATAATTATCCTATAATATAAATAATTATAAATTAAGATTAAAATAACTAATTAGTTTAATTAAAATTAAAAAAAATAAAATTAAAAAGTTTTAAATGAGATTAAAGTGTATAATCATTTTCCAGAAAAAAAAAAGTGACATGGTATGTAGGACGGACAGAAACGGCAACGTGGACATGGTATCTGGGACGGAGGGAGTAATTTTTTTTCTTTTTATACTTTAATTTCTATTTGCTATTATGTATAAATAATTTTATATGATATATTTTTATATTTTATATTGTCTAATTTATATGTAATTTAATATTACAATTGGTTATAAATATTATCTTATATATATATATATATATATATTTTTTTTTTTTTGTTTTTTTATTGTGTATAAATAATCTAACATAATATCTTTTTATATTTTGTGTGGTCTACTTTAATACCATATTGTTTATATTTTGTAGGATTTAATATATAATGTAGTAATTCTTTTATTGGTAAAATTAATATATTTATTATGATGAATTTTCAAATTATTCAAATATCATTTTCTATTATTTTCATATTAGTTATCTTTTTCTCCTAAATTTTTTTTGATGTTATCGCTTTTAACTTGTATAAATAATTTAATTTATAATTGGATAATACTTTATTTTGTATATTTTACAAATACTATATTCATTGTGATTTTACAAATAATTTTTTTATTGATTTATGTTTAATATATAAATTTATTATTAATATTTACATATAATGTATATAATATTCACTTATATATATTTGAATAATTCTAAACCGTTTTAGTCAATTTCTAAATTTTTAAATGGTTTTTTTAATTAAAAATTATGTAATAATTTAATTAAAATTTTTAATTTCACTTTTGTAATTTAATACGTATTTGATTTTGAAATAGATTTTAATAATTTGGTTGGATATCATAAATTCACAAAAATATATGAGGGTTCATCTGTATTTAAAAAAAAATATACCAAAATACTTGCAACTACAATAAATATATCTATTTACATAATAACGGTTCAGATTATATAAATGCAATCAGAGTAGGCTATTAGCATGTGTCATGAACAACTGCACAAACCCCTAATTTGCAGGAGAGCCATTAGTAAATATTTTAATATATAATATTAATTAAACGGATTATTTATCAAAATAATTAAAAAATTACAAACAAATTATAATCAGACTTTATTAAGAATACTAAACAAATTCCTTTGAGAATTGTAATAGTCATTAAATATTTATAAATTATATAATGATATTAAATTTGTTCAACTAATAAATTACTCACAAATTTACATCCTATTCAATTTTAAAAATTCATCTATTTCAATTGTGCTCTACTTTCAATGAGTTGAAAATTAGATAATTAAATACTAATGTTTTGAAATAGTCATTAAAGGAAAAATCCATAATTTAGAAGTTTTTTTATTCTTATATTTACTTTTTAATATTGTAATTGTATTGTTCTAAAATATATTATGATTTTTAATAAAATATAAAATTTAAAAAAAATATTATGTTATAAGACATTTTTTTTTTAGGGTCCAAACAAATACGGGGCGGCTTTAAATATAATTTTATTATACGAAAATGAGAACACAAGCACAACAACACCCAACAATAATTTTCTCAAAATTAAATATTTTGTCCATAAATATTTTTAAGTGATACCAATAATAAATTGACAATGATATTTATTATTAAAATACATACTAAAAAATGATAAAGTAAATATGCCATCATTTTCGTACTGGTATAGCACTCAGTAGACATCCTTTGTATTTATTTCATAAAAAAAAATAAAAGTCTGCAATCCCTAAGAAACCTCAGTCTGCATGCACCTAAGCAAACGAAAATACGCTAAAAACATAAGGTTATCGGATTCACTTCACATTTTACAATGCTACCTGGATTTAACTTATGCAATGTATGACAATACCACGGCAGACATACAAAGTTATCCCTACCTTCACCATTAATTGACATCATCACATTCTTTTTGTCTCATCATGCTTTATGCTATTTAACGTCACTCTCATAATCAATTGGGATATGCTCCCGGATGTCAAATGTCTTATACAAAGGCATAGAGCTATGTAAATTTCTCATATCCAATTTGCATCTGCATATGAATAATCTCGTGATTGCAAGAAATTTATTTTACAAGTGTGTTGCAAATTGCAAGTGTGGATGCCAAAGTACAATCATGAGCA